CAGTCACTGAATCCCGGTCATTATGCCTGGCAATATCTAGATTAGCCCCACATACCAATACTAGTCCCAGTTGGACACCCGTCCTCATATCGCTCCAAGCCAACCAAGCTTAAGTTTGATTCCTGAATATGGGCTCCCGAAAAAGAAAAAATTCGTTGTTGATATGAGTAGTCCATCATTCCTATTAAGTTAGGATGTCACATACAACCCACTCAAAGGAACCAGCGTCCTCATCGTCCCAGCACGAATATTTCCCTTTTACACACGTCTATGTGCGTCAGTGCCAGCATCCACATGTGCACATGTTGTGTACCACGACGGGCCACATGCACCATGTGCATGTATGTGCACTGATCCTCACACACCTATGTAACCGCGGGGCCAGCTCTGGTACCATTTATAATGCCTAGGCCACAACCATTGGTTCTCGGCCGTTATGCCTGGTGGGATCTAGACTGACCCACAGACCAACACTAGTTTTTCTTTTGAATGGATTTCCAAAAAATAAGGAATTCCTTATTGATATGAGTAGTCTATCATCCCTATTAAGATAGGATGTCACACCGACATCCAAGCCGCGCAACGTCTGGACTACTACGGGTGCGATCGCCTTGGGTCTTCGCGTACCCCGCGTTCATGAAGGCTTGGGCCCTTGGCTGGTTCAATACCTCCGTGGGGTCAAACGCCCGCCGCCGGCACCCGCTAAATGGTCAGCTCCTTCCCGTTCAGCTGGCGAGTACTAGTGCGCATTCCGCCTCAAAGCAAGGACCATCGCGCAAGGCAGAGGAGGCGGCAGAGCGTCTACACAGCGAGCATGACACCTCGGTTGGGTAGGAATGCCATGATGCCTGGCGGGTATTCCGCCACTTGCGCAATGACAACGGCAGCAACGATGATGACGACGGTGTGAATGACAATGGAGGTGCCAGTGACCTCGGAGGCCATGTCTACGAGGTCAGTGTCCGCTACTTGGCTTAGTACGGTTTATTTTAGGTTTAGTTTAATATGATTATATATCAAACTCATCTAATTTCATGGGAAAGGATTCCCTTCACCCGGCCAATCTCACGGGTTTTGTCAATTGCCTCCCACGGATGACACATGGTTGTGGCCCACACACGTTGCAACTCAGACTAGCCACGTACGCGTTCCAGCCTATACTTATCCACACAAGATATAAGGGTTGCAACAAGACTCTTGTTGCAAAACAGCTACAGCAATGATGGGCAGTCGTGCCGCTGCTGCGATATATTTCATTGCAAAATTCTGTTTGTACACAGTGTATGATATATTTCCCCACGGTCGATGCGAGCTATATATCAAGGATAAATATGTCGATGCCCGGAAATTGTACTGTATTTGTACATGATTTGTTTGGTCATATGGATATTCTTAGGTTATTATGGATCACTAGACTTGATTTTACCTAGGTTTGGGTCCCCTAGGCATTGGAATCAGCTTAGCTGAAAAAGGAAGATCTGGTTAGTAGGAAGAACACCCTTCTAAGGTGAAGTTATTCCATTAATAGGAAGGAAGTTATATATATTCGAACAAGAGACAAGCTCTAAAATGGAAATAAAAAAAGGAGCCCCTTGTCCGTCCACGTACTCACCCCGCGGGAACTCGAAATCAAACATGACGATGGAATGAATCTACTTTTGACTTGTCCTCCGTATTGAACAGTTTGATTGTCAGGTTTCAAAAATGTTGGATGAGAAGGAAAACCTCATAGCAGAAGGTAATAGCCCTACTCCGGCTTGAACTAGATTATCTCTCAAGATAGAATACGCGGTGTTTAGAATGTGGGAAACCGGTGAGTTGGGGTCCAACTCAATTACTACGGTGGAGGAACTAGACGGTATGCTCAAGATCCTAGGTGTTTTATCTCTCGATTGTTGATTGTGTAGACCTCGGTCCGCTTGCGGGTTCTTGGCTTCTTTTATATACCCGCGGTATGGCGGTGGCCTCCTCTCCTTCTAGTAGGTGTCCTCTCCGTGTACGGGTAGGATTCCAGACCGTGTATGACTGGGACTCGTGGCCCCTTACCATGTAACTTGCAAGTCTTTCTTCTGGGAACCCGGAATGTATACCAACTAGGTCGGTGATCTCTGTGTGGGCCCACAAGGGTATGCAAATACTTATGCCCATATGGCCTATATACTGTATACACAGTATAGGATATTGTAGTATGACTACCCACCATCGGGAGTTGTGTTTTCATCTAAGGCCAGACTAATGAAGTCATGCCAAGATTTTGTAAACCCTAATGATGTTCCTTGGATCAGACGACGGGAATGGTTCGAATGTCGGCACATGTTTTTTTCCCATATCAGTACCAATTTGCTGTTGTTTTGAAGGTCTCGTCATAAAGAATATATTCGTTCAAGCGGATTATCATTTGGATACAAAGTTTAAAAGTTAGTTTTAAAAATTGAAAGAAGCGTGTACAAGCACCAATATTCAGTGCAGAGCCCGTGAAACTACGACTCACTCGGGCAGATGCTGCACGGACGTAAATCATCTAGCCTTCCTGCACTGCAACCTACGGCCAATTCGGCTTCCGATCGGAAGCATACGTCGGGCATCCGACCCCTATGCACGCAATATATATCTATATTCTACATAGTCCTCCAAAAGACATGCATGCCAAATTAAGCTCTACAAGTACTTCAAATGTTTTGCCAAGTTTGTTGTTGCCGTGATGTCTTGTTGAATTCTCAAATTTATTTCTGGTAAACTGTTTTATTACAGTAAGAAAAGATATATTCAGTAAACTATTATGTCCAAAAAGGAAAAAAAAGTACTTCTTAAAATACATCAGATAATCAAATGGAACCTTATTTAGTTTAATTTGTCCACCAGCATGTTAGTTGATATCTATTTCAAACTATTTATGTCGTCTTTTTTTGTAGGTAACATCTAAATCTATTGACGGCAGGGGCCAAGCAACCTCAAGATAGGATTTCAGCCCATGCTTCTATGGTAGAGGACTAGATGTGTTTGGGGATAGATAGTGTTATGGTGCTGCTAGAAAGAGGGCGCAAGAGGGCCGGCCGGGGGCCTTTTTGCCCACAGCTGGGCAAGAGGGAAGGGATTTCCTTCTTAATTCTTGCTTGATTAGATTGATACATCTCCTCTCTTTATATAGAGAGGTTTACTTGACTCCCAAGCAAGGCTTACTTGACCCCTAAGCAAGCGGCCCTTATCTCTAATTAACCCTAAGACTAACGAGCCCATTAGGCCCATTACGTACTCTAACACTACACACCACCTGGACATGCAACTTGTCCTCGAGCTGCAGCCTAACCAACTTATAATCATGACTCGACGCAACACAAACCTAACACCTAAAAACAAGCCTTTTACATCTCGGCTTGTTTTATTATTCTCAACCTGAAATGGACTGGGACGCTTTATTTTGGATCCCTTAACAAAAAGTGGACACCATTCGCACGTCGGACATGCATGTGTACAGCCACCTGGATCCCATGGACACCACCTGGACAAAAGGAGTGCATGTGTATGGCCACCTGGAAGTGGTCGCAAGAGTGACCAGCAGAGGAGCCCTCGTAGCGGCCGGTTGCGGAATGCAGTGGTGCTACGCGGTGCGCTCCTGTCGGTGACACCATGCCTTCTCCCTCCCGGACGGCTGTTGGTCTGCACCCCACACGGAAGAGTAGAGGGCTTGTGATGGAGAATGACGAGGAGGGGTGCGCCCCCTCCCCCCAACCGCCGATGTCGCAGACTTTGAGGTCGCTGCCCGCGGGGAAAACAGCATGCCCGCCACCCATGAGGGAAACTGCATGCCCAAGATCACAGACGCAGCGGATAAGATCGAGGTCGTTTGTGCAGCGAAGGGCAACTTGGAAGAGCGGCAGCTGCAGACCACGCATCTCCCGCACACGCCGACGCGCTAGGAGGTCGCTCGCAGTAGCCTGCAGCCTCACCACCACCGACACGTGGCGGGTAGCGATCAAAGACGGAAGCGGTGACGGTGACGGCATGGACTTGATCTGCTGGATGTGGACGCTCTCGGACGGCGGCGGCGCTGATGGGAACGAGGTCGTCGCATTCCCTTCATAGGGCATCGCATACTGGGTGGCGGAGCTGACCGGCGGTGGCTGCTATAGCTGCAGCGGCTGCTGCGGTGTCGCGCCAGGCAGCGGCAGCGGCTGCTGCGGTAGAGCGTCGGGCACGACGGAGGCCGCTAGGAGCGACGGCTGCCACTGCAGCCAGGGCTGGGCGGTGGTGGCGATGAATGGCAGCTGCAGCGGCCCGGCAAGCGCGGCGAAGGCCGCCTGGTGCGGCGGCTGCCACGGCAGCCACGGCAGCGCGAGGGCGGCGATGGGCGCCGCAGCCGGGTGCGGCCCGTAGGACCCAGCCAAGAACAGGTGGATCTCCTGGACCGCCTGGGTTAGGTCCCACAACACCCCGGACACCTCCTCCGGGGTGAGGACGCCGATGGCGGGCACGACGGAGGATCCCGGCGCGGGCCAGAGCGGGAAGACGGTCGTGGTGGTCGCCGCAGGCGACGAGGTGACCGGCAGCGGAAGAGACGGGCTTGGCGGCGGTGAAGACATGATCGAACCGAAGCTATCTGATACCAAATTGTTATGGTGCTGCTAGAAGGAGGGCGCGAGAGGGCCGGCCGGGCAAGAGGGAAGGGATTTCCTTCTTAATTTTTGCTTGATTAGATTGATACATCTCCTCTCTTTATATAGATAGGTTTACTTGACTGCCAAGCAAGGCTTACTTGATCCCTAAGCAAGCGACCCTTATCTCTAATTAACCCTAAGACTAACGGGCCCATTAGGCCCATTACGTACTCTAACAAATAGTATCATGTCAGAAATGTGTTTGGTAGAGGAGTAAATGAATGTGTTATGGTTATTAAGTAAAATAATCACTTTAAGGTTGTTCTAATAAAAAAGACATGGATAACCAATACAAATGCACTTTGTAAAAGTAATGAATGTAAATTACGAAGTCAGAAATCATACCAAAAATCTATATCTCTTAGATCATCACGCCATTTATCCCGCACATGACCGGGCCATTTTTTCCATGAAGATGATGCCATGACTTATGTTTAGTAGTGTACCAAACTTGCTAGTTTGCACAAATTGACCTGCAAGAAAAAGATTATGTGAATCAGTTAGGTATAAGGAATCACATTATAACTAGCATATGCAGCAAAACAAAAAATAGTATAAAATGTGTGGAAAGTGGATAGTACTCCTACTAGCAGAAATCCGGCACTTACTAAACAAAGAACCATGGCAAGATAAGAAAGTACAGTTTGGTTTAAGACATACTAATTAAAGTAAGGGCTGAAGCAAAGAGTAATTGTAGCCATAGTTTTTGAGGAATGAACATTGAGTAGTACGTTGTACTTGGATGGTGGTGGCTGCCATTTAAAGAGGCGGAAGGAAGGAGAAGATGGATACCCTCCACGGCTGTTTCTCGAGCAGAGGTTCAAGGAAGGAGGATTCCAAATCTGTGGTGGTAAGATGGGTAAGGGAAGATACAAGTGGAGTAGCCTCTGGTTTTTCTGGGTGAGGAGTCTTTTACTTGGAGAAGAGGAGGATGGGGAAATAATTTTATTTGGAGCACGGATGTCCGTCACCGATGTTGATTTTTCTGTTAAATCCATTTTTACATGTTCATAACTCTTGCACGTCGTCTTAATTTATTAACATCACTTTTAGGTGATTTCTTCAGATATCTTCGACTTACATGTCAATGTCAGCCTGTGACAGCCTCTTCAATTTTGTCTACAGAACATATAGATCAGGCACAAACAGTCTGGGATTAGAGCGGGTACAAACTCTTTGCTCTGGCGCAAATTACGTATAATGTATACATATTATTATGTTTCAAATTATTCCCTAAAACACGTGTTATTTTCCTAGTATAGGGATTTTTTAATAGAAAAACAGACACCTAAATAATTTTCAAGCAACGGTGGAGACATTGAGATTGTTAGGCAGTTGAATTCAGTAGAAATTAAATTATCCACATATTTACCTCTCAGATCTTGCCTTCTAGATCACCAAGAAACAATATTCAGCGCCGCTTAAAATGAAGGGTGCAAAATAAATATTAATTCTCTATGATTTGGCTTGACAGCTGCACACAAATAAATGATGGGACGCTTGGTTACAGCAACAAGCAACAAATACATTGTGCTAAGATAAATTGTTAAAGCAACAGAATCATGAATATTGGAAGCATCAACTTGGCATTGACAACTCTTATCTCAAGAATGAATGGAATATATACATAAACATTGTAAGCATATATAACGATGTGCAAAATTTAATAGAGGAAACTTTACTGGGTGATCTTTGTAGAAATAATATTGATTCAACGACCATCAATGTAGGTTTTACCTCTCAGCGGCTAAGAAACCTGAACTCGGGATAACTTTGTATAATATTAAGTCATGCATGTAGGTTCTTAGATCTCCTGTTAGCACTAATCATGTCATTAGGTATCTGCATGTTGAATATTGCATGTAGTTTAGTCTATGGTCTGGTGAAGGTTCAGATGTACGCGTGAAGGAGACGAGATGTCAGGCAGCCGTGCGATGCGGCGAGCACGACAAGATGTCGATGGTGCCGTGCAATGCGGCAACACCGTGTGAAGCGGCAAGACGCGGTGAAGCTGGAGCGGGACCGGCCACAAGACCAGGAGGAGTCGGGTGATTCGACAAGTTTGGGTGAGTTCTGTGGCCGTTGATGAGGCTACCCAAGGACTAAACTTGGTCGTACAGGTAGCTAAGGTTGTTAGCTAGCTTCATGCATGGGTTGTTAGCCTGCTGCATGCAAGTGGTTAGCGTTGAAGAGAAAAGCTACGCAAGTTCGGACCCAACTAGTAATTACTCCCTCCGTTCGGAATTACTTGTCTCGGAAATGGATGTATCTAGAACTAAAATACGTCTAGATACATTTATTTTCGCGACAAGTAATTTCGAACGGAGGGAGTAGTTTGTTAGTGCTAGTGAGTATTGGCCAGTTGGCCGGGCCATCCACATCATGGAGTGATTCTAGGACGTGGGAGTAGTGGCTCAAGTGGTGACCTGAAGTGCATGACAGGAATGCCTTTACCTTGTGTACATATACAACTTTGAGTCAATGAGAAAAGAGCAGCCGTGAGGGCTGACAGGAAAAATGTAGACACTGTGTGTACACCAAGGAGCAGAGCCTCTATGCGTTATGAGCTCTTTCTTGGTGCGTGTGTGTGTCTGTGTTGAATTCTTCCCATATGTGCTCTTGTGTGAAACAAAGGAGAGATGAGAGAGTTGTGAGATGCAACGAGAGGTAGAAGAAGAAGAAGCGGCGCTGCAAGGAGAGGCGGCACCAACATCTCCGAGAAACATATATACAGCAATACTTGAACTGAATGCTGCCAAATAATATTAATTGTCCGTGTTCTGCTTAAAAGCTCCTTGTACGCTCCTTAGAAAATACAAGCAAATTGACCCTGCTTATTATATAGCCCAGAAGTGAGTAAAAATCAGAAAGGAGAATATATAAAGTACCTGGTGGTTGAATTAGTCCCATAATATGGATGTCAAGAATTGGCCTGATGAACCAGATTTACTTGAAAAACTCAGTAATGGGACAAGCCGACAATCTTTTGGTGTTTCTCTCGTATCTGGTAACTAAAAAAGCAAGAAATGATAAATGATAGCAAACAACAAAGGGGTGAAATAAATGATTTTTTTGTGTGTTTTCCAGTATTTATCCGAAGAAAAGAGAACAAAGTCAGGATAAAAGAATAAAAAATAGCAATGATGGAAAGCTAATGACTTTTTTTGTCTTTGTTTCTTAATTGAAATTTAGAGCTAGATAAATTGAGTTGTTACAGGTCTAAAAAATCGACGGTAAAGGGAAACTCAAATGATATTTTTTTTTCAATGTCCATCAGTAGGAAAAGGGATCGCAATGTAGTTGTGGAAGAGCAATGGCGCAGTGGAGCATGCAATCAATTTGTTTTGTACGGACCACTAGAAACAAAGAATATTTTGTATATGTGAAACAACAAGAATGAACGGAGAAAATACGAATAGGTTTTATTTTTGTTTTTTAATGATGACTAGCAAAGGGGATTAAAAGTGGAACATATTTTGGTTTTTTTTTGTATTTCACTAGAAAGAAAGACTTTATTTATACACGAGAAAACAAGAATCAAAAGGGGGAAACATCAACTAAATTTTGGCTCTTTGTTATTGTGTTGATGACTGAAAAAAGATTAATCCTAGACTAGATGTGAAACCACAAAAACGAGTGAAAGCACCAACAAGATTTGAAACTGAAATGACACTTCTAGCTATTAGAAGACGAATGAATTAGAACAGAGTCGAACGTTTTGGTGGCAGGAGAAACAAATGGCTAGGACAGGAGAGGGCAAGGCGTCACAACGCCTGAACTCATAACTTATATACACAAAAAACTTAAACATCAACCGGAGGAAGGATGCGATGCTTGATGAAGTAGCAAGCAAAGAATACAGTTCTCTCACGGATAAAGTGTTAAAGAAGGAAACAAATAATGAATGAGCAAGGAATAAAGGGGATAACCTGCCATGTGCACCAAGGCAAAAGGTTGTAGATCCCCACGGTCCTGCTCTAGTTATTCAAGATGGATGATCTTACTTTCATTTGCTACGTCCAACAGATAGGCCTTACATATTTGGGCGTGTGGCTAGGGGTGTTCCAGAACATATACATGAGGCGATAATAACAAAATTCGAGTTGTTTC